CATGTATAACATTCAGCTGTTGACCCAGCAGCCATAGTCAATGCAGCACGTCGCTTTTAAGATCGAAATTGGGTCGATTCATTAAATATTTACTCCATTTCTATTTCCTTCTTTTAGAATTAATTGAAAACACTGAAACCAAAAGAAAAGCTCACCGCAAGCTACAATTAATGCCCACAAGTCGTGGAATTGGGGCTTTCAAATGCTCAAAATGTGACAAACACCTATTTCACAGAATTGGTCTCATTGGTCACAGCACAAGCCACAAGTTATCTTAATACTTATTTCCTCTACTACTCTTGAATAAATTATCCTTATCTTTGACGCTTTAGTCATTGTCCGATTTTGACGGACGAATTATAATTTTTATATTCTTTTCTTATTTATTTGTTTTGGTTCAATTGATGTTTTTTTTTTTTTTTTCATATATTGTTCCCTTTTTTCTTTTCCTTTATTTCGTTTTTTGTTGTAATTGTTTTTTGAGTTAGCGTGGGGTGGGGTTGGGATGGTAATACATCAATAATCAGTTAGAAGAGTAGGCGAAAATGAGACATAAGAACAGACTGATGGGACATTAAAAAGGACAAAGAGGTGAGGAGGAGTGACAAATAATATGTTTGGGTGGGGACGAGGAGGGGACGGGGAGGGGACCGGGGGGGGGGGGGAAGAGGCGAATGGAATCGTTACTCACCCTCTTCGACGTACAAGTATGCAGACGGATGGGAGCTACTCGTTCCTGCGTGGTCTGAGCCACCCAAAGGTTGGCGTCGTTGTACCCTCGAGCGACAGTCTATGGGAAGACAGACAACCGGGGTTTTGTGGTTTTTTTCAGCATTTATCCATCTATCATTGATAGAAGTCAGGGTATTTGGGATTGAAGGAAGTGGGTAAAATTAGCGTGAAAATGCTCACCAAAATTTGGTGACTTTCAGAGCTTGAGTGTCCTTGAAAACTGTAAATTTACATTTTTGTACCTTTTTGATACACCCAAAATCTACACCTAGCCTTCTCAGACTAGGGCGAAAATCTCCCTCGGAGGACCTGTGTGCAAGTTGCGCACGTTAAAAATCCCTAGGTGGTCTAAAATCGATAAGAGTAGGCTTCGTTTCGGCCGCCACCCGGGCAAAATTCAAAATCTCCCACCAACTGAAATAAATGTTTAATGTGTCCCACGCGCTCAATAGTATAATCTTATGCAGTTATGAGTGCCGTATAACACTCATAAAAAAAAGACATACGCCCATTCCTTGATACCAGAGAAAGACAAATTCCCATTCTTTAACATCAGCGAAAACAAACACCCAATTTATAACATCAGTAAAATAAAACACTCATCACATTTTTTTACACCAGCGAAAGACAATCAACCATTTTTCGACATCGGCGAAGAAAATCATCCATCCTGAAACATCAACGAAGACAAACGCACATTCTTTAGCACCAGCGAAAACAAGCATTCTAAACTGTCAGAAAAAGCAAACATTCTAACCTGTCAGCGGTAAATAGATACGTAGATTTGCATGTGTGCATGTGTGCGTGTGTGCATGTGTGAAAGTGTGTATGTGTGTTTGTGTGTATATGTGTGTTTGCGTAAGTATGTGTGTGTTTGTGTGTTTGTGTGTGTTTCTCTCTCTCTCTCTCTCTCTCTCTCTCTCTCTCTCTCTCTCTCTCTCTCTCTCTCTCTCTGTGTGTGTAGTATTTGTGTGTGTGTGCCTCCCTCATAGGTGCGTAGAAAGCATCTATAGGTGTAAATGTCTGAGAATGTATAGAAATATGTAGTTGTAATAATACTGACCTATCTGCACTTTTTATGGTTTTGAGTTACGTTGCGCTGCCATTGGAAATATGAGCATGGCCCTTCAGTTACGTCTGTTTGCCATAGTGAAATATCCTATTTGTAGTGCAGATACATCTTCCTGCCTTAAACACAAAATGCAGAATGGGTATAGGTGTCCATTTAAACGAAGATGCATAAAAAGTATAAGTTTTGCGGACACGTCGGTATGCCTTGGCACGGCAGAATAATTCCAAACCTTTTGCCCCATGGCGCCCGGCTGGCCAAATCGGAACCAGCGATGGTAGTAACCAATCTTGAGGGGAATGTCCTTATCTGACTCCATAGAGAACATCTCTTCACCGAACGACTCTTGGCTCATGTTAGCGGAAGGGATATTGTCCATACCCGGGACTGTGTAGAACAAGCGGTCGATTTTGGAGTATTTGGTGAATCTAGAATGAATTGAAGAGAGCATTTTGATAGTTTTAAAAGTTATGAATAGTATTATAGAGTGCCCACCGTCACATTTTTGTTTTGATTTATCCTGTGTGGGTTAGTGTGTATTTGTGAGCGTGTATTTGTGTGTGTGTGGGGGGGGTGTACATATCTTATACACTCCACTCCATTAAAAACACCTCTCTTTTCAAACGCGCATTGATATTTCAAATGGCACGTTTGGAGATGAGTTCACAAGTTTTAGTTAGTGTTATCAACTCTCGTTTTGTGGCATGCTCGAAACGGGCAAAACATCATTTTTTTTTCTTTACTTTGTATGTTGGGGGTGGTGCAATAGTGTGTGTGTGTGTGTGTGTGTGTGTGCGAGTGTGTGTGTGTGAGTGTGTGTGCGAGTGTGTGTGTGTGTGTGAGTGTGTGTGTGTGGGTGTGGGTGTTGTGTATCTATGTTTGTGTTGGGGGGTGGGGTGCATGTGCGTGTGCGTATGTGTGTGTGTTTGTGTGTGTGTGT